GTGCCAACCATCCAGCGAAGTCATCGGTAGATACTGCATACAGGTTAGCCTACGATAACCACGAAATGACTTCAGGATAGACATACTTTGATTCTCAGGGAGCAAAGAAAATTCGACCAAGTATCCGGTCCATTGTTTCCATAGCTTGTAGGATCTTTCGACCCACAGCTGTGCTTTATCACCGGCGTTAGGCATCAATGCCCAGGGACTATCGAGTTTATCTATGCCACCGCTTGACTCAAGGTCTATCAGTGGGAATATGCCAGTATCTTTGCCATGTTTAGTGTTTCTAATGGGGGAGCCGGAGCCCTTCGCAGGGTAACGCAACGAATTAACGATGGCAAGGCCCATTATTAGCATATTTCCACATTCTTCTACCGGCATGTATTCGTCTCTTCCGTCTGGATGACCAGTAGCGTTAGGGAAATGGGAACCTAAGTCGTGCATCGCGTAAGTATTTGGATATTGGCCGCTGAGCATATGTTCTATCAATGGTTCCAAAAGGTAGGCAAGCCATCTGGGGTTGGTATAGAGGAAGAAAGGGAAAGACGGGAATATAACGTCAATTGTCTGGAAGTTTCCATTGGAGGAGATCTCCTTGAGGAACAAAATTGGATTTTCTGCTGTCCCCGAGAAGGTTGTTGCACCGAGAACTTGTCTTGCAGAGAGAGCGACAATGTCAACGTAATCTTCTGCACCCGACAAAAACGCATCAATTTCGAGTTGTTTAGAGTAACTCGTGGCAAGAGCAGATGCATTTTGGAAGTCGAAATAGTGGAAAGAAAGAAGGTTGTCCACACTACTAAACCAAGATTGCCAAAGGGGTTTCATCATGGTCAAGCCGCGGGCGGCAGCAAATTGGACAACAGGATCTTGGATATGAGCGATGGTAAAGGTGACTTGGTCTTCTTGCATCAAACTAGTTTCGCAGTTATTGCCAGTTCCATTGAGAAGAAATGACTTGGAAAATGCGAAGACGGGTTCCTCGTCCATAATCGATCGGAAGGAGCCATCGTTGACATTTCGCAAAGCATCAGTCCTTGCAAACCGCTTGCGAAGTACAGCAGACGTCCCAGATTCATATAGGACATCCTGGGTTTGTTGAATAATAATGTTTAGTTAATTCGGATATTCGTGATGGGAAATGCAGAGGTAACTATCAGGAATTCTTACCTTTGGAGCAACGATATACAGGCTACCCCATTCAGAGCGGTCACTATGTTCGGTGAACAGCTGCTCCGTTTCGCGTCTGACCCGCCACCTATTAAGGCGAGGACCTCCATTCCTGGGAGTTATTTTGTCGAAATCCCATACAATGCGGGCCCCTCGGTAACCACTGACCCACTGGCCGTTCATGTCCATGTAGATGTGAGCATTCCTATTCCCCTTGACATACACAGTGATATACGCAGCAGGAATTGATTGACGAAGAGTAGAAGTCGGAGTGATGGGTGAAAGGAATGAAACGGTGATGTGAAGGGGTCCCGCTGACGATTGGGATTCGGGTGGAGCTATGGAGTAGGTCAAATTGGTCGTGGAAGCATCGTATTTGGCACCAAGATACGTTGGATACGAGATCTTATAGCTGTGTAATTTTCGATTGTCAGAAAAGAACTCCTCACATTGATTAAGCTTCACAGCAGTAAAGCATACCCAGAGCTAGCCTTAACCGGCGTCAGGGAATCGTGAGGACGTCCAAGAAGCGGATATACAAATCCAGTGTCCGGGAGAGCAGCCATTAGGGAGAGCCCAAGATGCTCTCCCGTGTAGAACATGGGCCAATTATTCCACGGGTCATCTCTGGCATTGCCGAGCCAAGTGCTGAGATAAGGATCCCGCACGATCAACGGAAGAACAGGAGGGGTAAGGCGAGAGGTGGCAACAAGAAAGGAGTGGAAGATGGCTGCCCCAACGAGCGGAGTGAGTAACCATCGCATGGTGCCAGCTTCACCAGGAAACAGCAGCGGCTAAGGATATAAAGGGCAATAGGATTTCTAAAGAGAAAACCGCCTCAGCATTGCGGTGTTGCTGGAGGAGGATTGGGAGGAGGACAGAAGTAGTCCGCGCGGAGGGACAATTGCTGGTGGATGAAAAGCGAGCGTCGAGGAGGTTTAAGTTTAGAACGGATGAGGTCATGCGGAGAAGTCAGGCCAAGGTGGAGCCGCAGCTGGTTCCCGGTCCCCGCTCTTGTTGCTGTTTGTTGTCCGCTGACAACAAATGGCAAAAGACAAAACACACAGATCGCCCCACAGAATGGCTTGACGCGGTTCCGGGTTGCGCGCAGACAGATATGGAGAAGAGAGAGAGAGAGAGACAGAGGAAGCGGACACTTCATCCGTCATCCAGGGGATAGCTCATATCGACAAACCTTCCTTCCCTGCGTCGCTCAACAGCAGCAATCAACAAACAGGATACTTTTAACCTTAAAAAACAGAATGGCAGGTTTACCCCTATCGCTGTTCCATAATATTTGTTGCTGCTGACTCTTCCTTTTTTCCCCATTAGCGGGCTCAAAACGGTGGCTGTAGATTCGAACCTTGCTTGCGGGAATCAAGCATCTCACTACTAAGGCAAGTCAGTCAATTAGCTTTACATCGGACGCATTAGGGGATGCTCCGAGATGCCACCCACACTCCAAAGTTCAGTCCTCCGCGATAAAGCGTCTAGACGAAGTAAGGTCATTTTCATTTATTTATTTATTCCTTATTTGCACCGAAAATACATGGCTGGTCCTGCATGTTTCTCACGTCTTAAAACCCATAGAATATGTAACCAAATTCCGCAACCACATGATAGTTATTTGCTCATGCTGACGTTTGACAATCTGCAAGTTGCCAATGCGCCCTTGCATGAATATTTGCCCCATTCAGCTTGGATGGAACTTGGAAGTTAGGACCCTCGTCTTCTTCTCCTTTTCCCAACCCCTCCGCCTACCCCGCTCCCTGATTCCAACAAAATCGATATTCCAAAGCCTACTCAAGCATCATCACCAAAATACTGTTGAAGAAACGAAAGATATTTTCGGTCATTATTTGGGTTTTGACACCACCAAACCTACACGAAAATCAGCAGACAAATCTCACTGACATCCAACCTTAAATTGATATCACATATCGTGTGTTTTGAGTTCCCACATGCGGGCTCTGGGTTTGTAGATACGGTACACCGGCCTTTAAAAACACGATCGGTAGACTCCAGTATATATCTAACTGGAACTGGTTCCGTTAATATTTTGATATATATATATATATACACTATAAGGCGAAAGAATATTTTCTCCTAACGCAGGACAATTAAATCCATCTACCCCGACCAAAAACTGGAGAATTTTTAGCCCATGTTAGGGGGCTCGGAAGAGAGTAGATTA